ATCACCCAACCAACTTTCATGCCTAAAGTGGGACTAGAACTCCCAGTTTCCTGGTACCTAGGCCAGCACCTTAACCACCACCCCAAACTGCCTCTCCTTCGTCAACACATATAAAAACAGGACTGTCAATGAATGAATCTACATTTAGTTTACTTAAGGAGAGATGCTATGCTCTGCAAGAGGAAGTTCCTTTGTTCCACCTGAGTGGCCAGCACGAATTACATTATGGGGAAGCAAGCAGATGCTTACAATGGCTGAGTGCATTCCTGAAGGTTACACATCCTACGAATTGGTTTAGGCTTTTTACTGGCGTCACAGAAACCGCGTTGCACCATTTTGCTATCACTTTTCCTGCGGCAGCCATATTTGGTATATTGGAAACCTGGAGGGAGAACAGATAATATCTGTGTTAATAGCAATAGCAATAGCACTTAGGCTTATTTATTTATTTTGTCAAGCATGCATTTGATAATATATGTAAGTATAAACATGATTATTAATACATGAAATAGATACAAATAAAAGGCAACATTAAGACAGGGACATTAGGCACGCTGGCGTGCTTATGCACGCCCCTTACAGACCTCTTAGGAATGGGGTGAGGTCAACAGTAGACAGTCTGAGGTTAAAGTGTTTGGGGTTAGGGGAAGAAACCACAAAGCCAGGTAGAATATTCTAGGCATTGACTCTGTTGCTGAAGTTGTATTTCCTGCAATCAAGATTTATGCGGTTTACCCTGAGTCTGTATCTATTGTGTGCTTGTGTAATGTTGAGGTTGAAGCTGAAGTTGTCATTGACGGGTAAGACATTGTAATGCACAATTTTATGTACTACGCTTAGGTCAGACCGAAGGCGGTGTAGTTATAAGTTATCTAAGCCTAAAATGTCAAGTATGGAGGCATAGGGTATTCTGTTGCGAGTAGAAGAGTGGAGATTTATAGACCGCTTCACAGTGCTTTACAGCCCTCTCTAAGCTATTTACAGAGTCAGCGTATTGACCCCAACAATCTGGCTCCTCATTTTACCCACCTCAGAAGGAGGGAAGGCTGAGTCAACCTTGAGCCGGTCAGGATCAAACTCCTGGCACTTGGCAGAATTAGCCTGCAATGCTGCATTCTAACCACTGCATCGCCACGAAGGAGAATGAGAAAGGGAATTATGAGAGGGAGGGAGGGAAGGAGGAAGGAAGGAAGGAAGGAAGGAAGGAAGGAAGGAAGGAAGGAAGGAAGGAAGGAAGGAAGGAAGGAAGGAAGGAAGGGCAATAGCACTTAGACTTATATACCACTTCACGGGGTTTTAGAACCCTCTCTAAGCAGTTTACAGAGTCAGCCTCTTGCCCCCAACAATCTGGCTCCTCATTTTACCCATCTCAGAAGGATGGAAGTTTGAGTCAACTCTGAAACTGATGAGATTTGAACTACCAAACTGCAGGCAACAGAAGTAGCCTGCAGTACTGCACTCTAACCACTGCACCACCGTGGCTCACTGTGGTTCAATGAAAACCTAGCTAAAGATAATGCAAACCTTTCGTCTTCATGATTTATCAAAGGCTGGGAACAAAAACACTGACATCGTCAGGTGTAAAAGACCAAGGCCACATGTAAAGTTCCAGTGAAAGTGATTTATTGCTTCTGCCTATGCCCAGGAATCTAGTCAACTCACGCCCCAAAGGTGCCTTTTCTGAGGAAACTGGACTTTCTTGTTTTTTTTCTTTGAGGATGTTTTGCTTCTTCAGCTCTGACTGGATGGAGGGGAATGGAAGGATTTATATTCCTTGCAGACAGCTGGTCATTTGCATCCTTTTAGAGGGTCATTGAGGCTACCTGGAGGTTTATCCATGTCCTCCAAGTGGCCTCAAGGACTCTCTAAAAGGATGCAAATGACCAACTGTCTGCAAGGAACATAAATCCTTCCATTCCCCACTCTCCTGTCAGATTGCTTCTCTCCTTGATTACTTTCCGTCCATTGTTTCATGTCTTGCCTTCTGGTGCTGTGGAAAATATTTGAATTTCCCGCGACAATCATCCCCTCTCTTTTCCTAAAAATGTACACTTGTTTGCATGTTTCAGATAAATGTATATTTACTAAAATGCATATTAAAATCGTGTGTACTCAAGAAAATATTTTAGGGAATGTTCATTTTATGGAAACCCATTTTAAAAATGGATTTTTCAAAATCAACCATTGAGGAGATTTATTAGAGAAAATATAATAGGACAGAACATATTTATGAACAGCGATGGATTATCAACCTATCCAGAGGTGGGCTGCTGCAGATTTGGACCAGTTTTCCCAAACCCCTTGTTCCAACTGGCTGAATTCTACCACTTCCTTTGTGAGGAGTGGCCGGGAGGCGGGGCTGGGTGTGATGAGTGACATCACCCACCCAGTCACATGACCAACCAGCCACGCCTATCCAGACAGAGAACCAGTTGTTAAAAAATGTGAAGCCCACCACTGATGGGGATGGATTATCAACCTATCTCTAGGTACAAAATATAGACAGCCCCTTATGTTTTCTTCCCAACTAGTCCAACATGCCTCCTCCACAGACTTTGGAGCACTGGGACCAACTCTTCAAAGCCCACTCAAAGGTGTCCAGTTCCTCTTGAAGGACATTGTTACTGCTGACATTGGGCACAGAATCTTCATGAATTATGTATCGGTAAATCAGGCTGGATTGGGTATTGTTATCCTGAGGAATTACCTGTAAAAGGACGAGATGACAAAAGCAGCTGTCAGTATTACAAAACATGGAGTCCTTCTCTACCTTATTAGGCCCTTCAGCAATTACCTCAACCCCTCCAAAAAACCCCAATTCTTTCCATGCCATATTTGTGCAGATTCTTCTTCAGCAAGATTTATTGAGTTGAAAGAACTGTCAGAAGTTCAGTGACTGACATTTTTCCATTTAGAACCAATTATGATTAGCGTATGGTAGTATTACAGTATCTAGGAGACCACAATGCTATTGCAAAGTAGTACCTTGGCTTGCCAAGGTACCGGCCCTGCTGTAAGAAACACTTGTGCACTTCCCAAGGGGTGCCACAGGAGTGGCTCCCCCAAGGCTTCTTCCCTTCCTGAAGCTGTCTTGCAAGTGAGTGACATAGCCAGGAAGGTTCAGAGGCATCAGGAATCTGACTGCCTGCACAGAGCACAGCTCATTTTCCCACCAAAGTGGTATGTATTTATCTACTCGCACAGAACTGTTAGGTGGACAGAAGCTGAGGTGAGTCACAGGAGCCCACCCCGTCATGCAGTGCTTGGGCTTGAACTGCTGGAGCTGAGACCATCTCCAGTGTCATTAAGCCATTAAGCCACAATACGTCTTAATGTGTCCCTTTGTTGTGGTTAGCCGGCAGCAGGTGTGGACGGTTGAGGACAGTGATGACTCAGATGAGGGGCCAGGACCATTAGAGAGTGGACTGCTGCCTTCAGAGATTGTGGGGGCTGGCAGCAGCAATGAGAAGGTTCCTGAGGAGCCTGTGCCAAGTGCACGCAGGGTTGTTCACAAGAAAGAGCAGCTGCAGAAGCATGGGCAAGGTAATGGCCCCTCCTTCAAGAAGATAAAAGCCAGCTGTGAAGTGAATGTTCTTTGCAGAAGGCAAAGATGTTTTGAAACTCCAGCCTCATGGACATTCCATTATTTTGAGTTTGTATTTGAAGATTCTTGTACTTCAAATTATTTCTTGTCTGTTATCTTTTGGCAAGTCTCGCACAGTTTGGCAAGGCTTGTGCTTATCACAGCTAATTATTTTTCAGAAGCATTAAAAGTTTTCTGTTCCCTTTGGATTGTGTTTGATTTGTTGGAAAAGGGCGTGGGTCAGAACACCCTTAACAGATTATGTCAAGCCCGAGATTCATCCTCTTCAAAAATTGCCATTGACTTTTAATGGGACAGACTTTTAAGAATAACATCAATAGAGCTGAGGACTTTGTATTGAAATGCAAGATACACTCTGTTAAGCCAACCGGGAAAGTAAACCACAAACATAGCATGGCTTACCAGAACAAGAATGGCATCATGCAAAGGCCCATCTGTCTGAAGGGTTTCTATGCCATCTTCTATGTGGTATTCCCATTCTAAGCCGAAGTCGATGAAAGAACGAGAGATGGATCTTTCTCCTTTGCCATTTAGGATATAGTGGCCAGTTGCTTGGTTCTTAATGGCTAAAAGGAACAAAGGCAATGAGTGGTCAACTCTTCCCAGGCAAGGGGGCAATTCTTTTCTCTTCAAATTCTTGAAAAAAATTCATCTTCATGATATCATTTCTTGATACCAGGAACGCCTTTTGTTTTGGGGACAATCTAGAACTTCTCAATGCTTCCATATTTTTATTTATTTACTTACTTATTCCTCCCCATTATTATTTTACAAATAACTCAAGGTGATGAACATATCCTACATATCTTCTTCTTCCTCTTACTTTCCCCATAACAACAGCCCTGTGAGGTGAGTTGGGGTAAGAGATAGTGACTGGTCCAAAGACACCAAGCCAGCTTTAATGCCTAAGATGGGACTAGAATTCACAGTCTCCTGGTGATTGGCCCAAAGTTACCCAG